GGCGTAAACTTTGTGGTGGAAGCTATGCAGGGTGAGCTAGGCTGTGTGAACTGAAGGTGAAAGCTATGTGGTACAAGCTGTGTCATGCGAGCCGTGCTGTGTAATCAAAACATCGTCAGCTATCTGGTGCAAGCTGTGTGGTGTAAGCCACAGTGTAAGCAGCATTGTGAAAGTTATGCCGTGCAAGCTCAGAGCAGCACAGGCCGCCCACGAGGCGGCACGGGCGACAGCGTGGCGAAACCTCGGATAACCCACCCAGCCCACGGGCGCCCACGAGGCGGCACGAGCGGCAACGTGGCGCAACCTCGGCATACCCCCCAAGCGCGGGGCGCCCACGAGGCGCCCACGAGACGGCACGGGCTGCAGTGAGGAGAGAACCCATGATGCCCAACAAATTACCTTAAGCAAGCGAAGTGAGAGCCCTTCAGTGCCAGCCCTGTGTGGGGAACGACGCGAGCCCATCTCCCCCCTTCCGTCCGGCCCGACACCTGCTGGAGTACACAGGCGGGCAGCCCCCAAACGAGGCGGCCCCGCACCAGGGCCAAAGAGCTCCACCTCGGGCCCCGGGCACCGCCCCCTCCACGGGGCCACGCCGCCGCCGGCGCTGCCGCGGCGGTGCGGCTCCGAGGCGACGCGGCGGAGACAGCACAGATGCACGCAGGCTCCACGCAGTGGGGCCCACGTCGGCCCAGCGATTGTCGCCACGTGATCCCCGACCTCTAAACGACTCGAAACTATCGGGTCCGAGGTTTTTGCGGCGCCCCTGGACAGTGATAATACTGCCTGGAGACTTGTTGCTATGACGCAACTGTTTAACCAAAAAACGACACCGGCCGTAACCGGCCCTGGCCGCCCTTTCCTTCAGAAAAACGTCACGATTCGTGCTGACCTCCGCGCTCGCATGGGCGCTGGCGCGAAACGCGATGCTGCTGGACCCCCGCCCCCTTGCCCCCCTCCCCCTGGTATTGCCCGCTGTCGCACGGGAAAAAAGGTGCCCTCCTGGAGCCAGGAATGGGACGCACAAATAAATACTAGTACTATATGTTATCCTTGAAGGCGCGCGTCCGACCCGAACATATAGTATACCAATATTGTAGTTATATCGTTTCCCGAGCGGTGTGGCCAGAAAGCGCTCGCCACGACGCATATACAAAAAGAGTTCTCGGTGCGCGCGTCGCCCCTGGGGGGGCGATGTACATATAGTATAAGTATGTTGGGGTGACGCCGAAGGAATCTGCCCCATGCATGCCTGGGGCAGGGCTCGAGCGGTCCAGAGCCCCGGGCTCGAAAGCGTCGGGTCGCCGGAGTTTCGGGAACACGCCGACGCTGGGCATACCGCAGCCGACCAGCGAGCAGTCTCCGGGAAGGAGCTCGGCGGCCGCAGACAGAGAGGCGCGCGGACGTGCACGCTGGATGATGGGCCTGTTTTCCACCACCACCACCATAAGTTGTAGGGGGTCCTCCTCCTCCTCCTCCTCCTCCTCCACCTCCTCTTCCTTCTCCTCCTCCTCCTCCTCCTCCTCCTCCTCCTCCTCCTCCCCCTCTTCGTCCTCCTCCTCCTTCTCCTCCTCCTCCTCCACTTCCTTCCCCCCTCCAACTTATGGTGGTGGTGGTGGTGGAAAACAGGCCCATCTCTGGAAAAGCTGCCTCGCGGGCAGCAGCTGCCGAACGTCGCTCACCGCCACAGGCCGCGGCAACAACGACGCTGCCGCCAGCCGTGAGCCGTGGTCGCCCCGAGGGAAAACTTGCCGAAACTGCTCATTGGATTTAACAACGAGGGGGGGAGCAGGAGGAGGCAGGAGGAGGGGGAGGAGAAGGATGAAAGAAGGCAGGAAGAGCAGGAGGAGGTGGCAAAGTGGAGAATGAGGCAAGAGGAGGAGCAGGAGGCGGCGGGAGGAGGAGGACCAGTGTAAACCCAGGGCGCATCAACAAAATCATTATTTGCATGGCGGGAAATGCCCCATTGGAAGGTAAACGTTTGAGAATCCACAATCGTGCACAACACCATTGCTGGGATTTCAACGACATGAATCAACGTGTAAGCTGCGTCCTGACAATCCGAAATAATCCCAGAACGCCATTCCTGGGACTCCAATGCCGCGAATACACATGACTGCTACGCTGTGACAATCCTGAGGTCGCGCCACAACATAACTCCTGGAACTTAGAACCACACGGATCCTTGAAACAACTGTAAGCTTGTAATACGAAGAAGTGCAGCGCGAACGCGAAACGCACACTCTAAACAGGATCCGTCGTCCACACTTGAAACTGCTGCAGACTTGTAAAACGAATGCGCGCGGCTCTCAGGGCAGAGCCACATCTTGAAAACGACCCGCCCCCCTTGAAGCTATTGCAAAATAGGAAAGCACGGATGTGCGGGGCGCTAATGCGAGAGCCACGTTTTGAAAGTAAGCCGCCCTTCATCCTTGAAGCTGTTACAGACTTTTGAGACGAATGCACGCGGCGCTGAAGCGAAAACAACATTTTGAAAATGAGCCGCCTCAATGTTTGAAATTGTTACAGATATCAAGCTTCAAGACCATGACTAATGAGGAAGTCTCCGGCGGAGCGTCTCGCCGACACGTCTGAGAGCGGCAGGGAGGAGCTGGTTATCTATACGTAAGGGACAAGGGCTGAGGAGGATTCGGGAGCGGCCAAGAGGGGGGCGTCCAAGAGGGTGGGGTGCAAATCATGGCCGGCGGCATGTGCGCGGCCCATGGGGGGGGCCCTGGATGCATTGAAATAAGAAGAGGCGCCATGAAATCTGGGGAGATATCATGGCCCCCGCCATGATATCCCCCCCCCCCTAGTCACTAGTCATCACCCCCCTCTTTGCCGCCCCCGATAGGCATGGATATGGAACAGGGGCTGAAGAGGACGAGGCCGACGAGCAAGTCCCCGGGCATGCCCAGCACCCCGCCTCCCCACCTCCTCAGAACCCGCCGGGCCGACGCAGCGGGCTGCCGCTCCTCCCGGGCGAGGCCGCGCGGGGATCCAGCCCGGCGAGCCTCGCCGGGAACGAGGCCACCTTGCAGGGAAGAAATGCGGACTCCAGGCCCTCACACTTTTGAATCTCCGCCCTCGCAACCAATTCTCTCCTCCTCCTCCTCCTCCTCCTCCTCCTCCTGCTCTTCCTCCTCCTCCTCCTCCTCCTCCTCCTCCTCGTTTCCCCTCCCTTCCGCACTTTGGCGGCACGCAAAAGGGGGTAGGGGGAGGGGGGAAGGCTTCTTAGAAGCACCCTGCTTCTTAGAAGGCCTCGGCCTTACGTCTATAGAGAAGGCCCGCGCCTTCTAAGAAGCAGGGGTGCTTCTAAGAAGCCTTCCCCCCTCCCCCTACCCCCCTCTGCGCGTTGCCGAGCACTACCTCTTCGTTCGACTGCCCTGGGGCCCTGGAAGCGGCCTCTTCTTGCCGCAGGCCACGGCGTGGCGTGCCAGGTCCGCAGACCTGCGTGCCACGCCGGCCGCGGACCCCTCGAGGCCCTCGGCGGCCTCCGCTGGTCCTCGACGGCCTCCAGCCCCGGATCTCCGCCGATATGAATCTTCAACCGGCGCTTTCGGCCCTCGGGGGGAGCTTTCTCGGGGGCGCGCAAACATGGATTACGGATCCATGGATTTGGCGCGCGGTCGCCAAATCCATGGATCGGGGGAGGTGGCCTCCCCAAAATGCGGCAGGTGCCGCCTCGCTCGGCGGGCGGCGGAAATCCGCGATTTCCCACGGAAACCTGACGCGTCGCTAATCCACGCCCCCCCTGATCCATGCTTGCGATCGCCTGACTTTCGGGCACAACTATCAAGCATGAGTCCGAGACGGAACAAAAACACCCCCCAGGAAAGGGTCGGGACTTCTGGAGCCGCGGATCGACAAAATTGCATCGGCGCATGCCAGGGCCAGCGGTCTCCAACGGTCTCTTGGCCGGAAGGCGCGGCTGAAGCGTCGAGCGCTGCTCCGCCGGCTGCTTTTCCAGCAATCCCTGCCGAGAGGTCCCCGGGGGAGGAAGCCGTCGACAAGTGCTCGAGCAAATGTTCAACCAGCCAAGTGGCAACGGAAAGCTTCCTGACGGGCCCAGCATACCCGGCGCACACTCGAACGACAGAGAGGGAGGGGGTGTGCCGCGGTCTTGCGCGCGAAACGCAGCCATCGGATGCATCCACATCATCAAGACGGACATCTTTCCTGGTTTTTGGCCTCTGGGGGCCCTCGCCGGGACTGGAGCGACTGTCAACAGAAACGACTCAAGATAGACAAGCGCGTTCCGCTACTCGCGAAGTAAGTACTCGCAAATGGCCTGGATCCGCCGCGGGGGATCTACGACAAATCACATCGAAGCGGGCAGGTGTTTTTCGGACGCCTGCGAGTAGGCACTTTGCGAGTAGTGAAACGCGCTCGGTGACGAGATGAAAAGCCGGCTCTGGGGGAAGGGTCGGAACTGCCGGCGGGGCCCGAATGGAACACACGTCAAGACCTCGGATGCCTGGAGAGCTGGATGTTCGAGCTCTACAAGAGGTCGCCACGACGGGAGGGAGGCCCCGGGGCCCTCCCCAGGACCGGCTCTTCCTCCCGAGCCGCCCCTCCTGACGGTGCAGGAGCCCTTTGAAGGTCCCAGGGCGCCGACAACGGCGGGAAGCTGCCGGGAGCCCTTTCCTTGCCATCGCTCGGGCGCGCACTCCCCCCTGCATGTCTCGGCTTCGCGCGTGTTTGTCTGTCGCGAGATGGTCCAGGATGCTCCTCGACGGTCCCCGCCGAAGGAAAACGTGCACTCATCCGAGCGATGCCAAGTATCCCTGAGGACCCCGCTCCTTGCTGCTAAATCAAAGGATTCGCGATACAACTCCGCTACAAAAATATACACGCATACGCCCTCCGATGGGTTGTTCCTGGGCCTCATGGGGAGGGAGGAGGTGTATGAATCACCACTGAGAGCCAGCGACTTTACACAGCGCTATCCCCCCGCGAAGGTACATGCAGAGTTCGTCGGAGGGCGTCTGTGCATATGTTTCCGTGGCGGACCAGCACCCAGGTCACCGTCGACGCGGTGGTGGAGCCTCCGTAGAGGGAGCCCTGCCCAGAGGAAGGCCACTGCGACCGCGGCGACCCGCACGGCGACACGAGGTTCCCGTCCTTGCCGAACTTCACCCTGCCCTTCTGGTACGCGTCCGCGAACTCCTTGAGAGGAAGAACAAATTCCAAGCATGCGACGTCCTCACTTTTTCAATGTGGCGTCCCGGAAGTCCCGACCCTTTCCCCAGGACCGGCTTGTCATCCTGCGTCGCTTTCTGACGGTCCTGGGGCCCTGCGAAGGGCCCCACAGGGCTCAGGGCCCGAAAATAACAAAAAATCGCCCGTCCTGATTTTTTACTAGGGCTCCCAACTTCGCGCTTCGCGCTGCGCGAGGCGCGAATAACTTCGCACTCTCGCGCCTTTCCCCAAAAGGGAGAATGGGAGGACGAGGAGGAGGGGGAGAAGGAACGAGGACCGCGCAGCGCGAATAACTTCGCGCCCTCGTGGGAGCCCTTGTTTAACGACTGGGATCATGAAAGGCAAGGCAAGGCGAGGCGAGGCGAGGCAAGGCAAGGCGGTCTGCATGCCAGCCCCAGTGCCAGAGCGGTCCCCTGGAGGGCAGACGAAGAATCTCGCGCAGTATCGGCCAAACGCCGCATGGGCAATCTCTTTGAAGGGGAACTGGGACACAAATAACCAGCTTCCCCATATTTTCCGTATTTTCTAATTTTTGATCTTCCCCCCCACTTCCCATATTTTCCCATACGTTCTAGGCATCGACGATTAATTGTGTCTGTGTGTATTTTTGTCCCATCCTGACTCTTATCCACCGACAGGCGACACTTTGCGCAACGCTACATTAACAACAAGAGGGGCGAGGGCTGGGGTGGGAGGAGGAGGAGGGAGGAAGTAGGGGAGGGGAGGGATCCCATGCTCTCGGCGGTCCGCATGGATCTTCTTGGGCCTGCGCCGGGGTCCCCCCTCTATCCCTGGCGCGCCGGCGCGCGCTCGGGGCGCGCCAGGCACGGCGCTGGAGAGGCTGCCTCGGGGGGCCCCGGCGCAGAGCCAAGAAATCCGTGCGGGCCGTCAAACTTTTCGAGTAGGAGATCGACTACAGAATTGAGTTGTTCCAGAATTGACTTGCGCATCGAGTGTACGATAAATGGCGTGGCAAGGTTGTAGATCTACGGGACAACCTACGTCTTTTTGTGTTCGTAGACTTGACGAGCAAAGCACTGTTGGAGTACATCAATTATGTAACTGATCTCCTACTCGAACATTTGTGTAGCACTCCCCGAAATTGCGGAGCGGGCGCAGGGTGGGTCGTGCACCCAAGCACTAATGTGGCATCCTCGGTGGCCTCGTCTGTCCAATCTCACCGCCCTATCCGCGTCGAATCCGTAACGGATCGATGTCGGACTCGTCGGATCCGTGTCGAATCCGTGTCGAATCCGCGTCGAGTCTACGCCAAATCCGCGTCGGGTTCGCATCGAGCCAGCGTCGGGCAGAAGAAAAGACACCAATTTTGGGGACAGGCGAGGCCCTCCGAATATGCAACGAAAAAGCACCAAGGGATAGTGTAAGACCGTTCGGCCCCGTCACTTCGATGTTTGTGCCAGTGTTTCCTCTTCGGCTCCTCCCGGGTGATTCTCCCGTCGCCGTTTGCGTCCAGGTCCTCGAAGGCGGTCGCCTTTACCGTCTCGTGGAGCGCGTTCACGCCCACCGGCCTCACGCCAAACAGCCTCACCCTCAAGGAGCCCGCGCCGCAGAGGTAGCGGCTCAGGGGCAGGTCGACCTCGAAGCTCTCTGAGGCGCCCAGCCAATCTCTGCCCACCGACAGCGTTGCCCTCCCGAGGATGCTGACCTCGGGGAGACCAAAGGGTACCAATACCGCTACTCCCCGGACCTCTCACGATGTGCGTTCTGACCAGGATTTCGAGGCGAATCCAGCGGTGGCGACGAGGGAGGCCCAGGAGAACTCAAAATGGGAAAGCGGGCGAAGGGTAGAGGGAGGTATCGGTGCGTCTTCCTCCTCTGAGACCTTCTCGCCCATGGCGTGGGCCTTCAGGGGCAACCATAGGGGGGATAGGCAAAGGGGGCGATGCATCGACCTGGAATCGGCGATGCATCGCCGATAGAGCGGCGATAGGCCCCCGATAGCGAATCCGCACCTTCCTGGGCAGGTTGGGGCTATCGGGCCCCTATCGGCGATCACTGGGCGATCGCGTGCCACAGCACCCCCCACTGTGCCTATCCCCCCCTATGGTTGCCCCTGGCGTGGGCCTGCGAGCTGCACACCTCGAAATCCAGCCTGCGCCCCCGGATCTCCTCGAAGCCGAGCCGGTGGCCCGACTCCCACACCGGGCACGGGTCCCGCCTCCGGGCCGTCTCGGCGGCGTCGACCTTTACTTTTGTCGGGGGTGGCGTCCAAGAGGGGGGGGTGCAAATCATGGCCGGCGGCATGTGCGCGGCCCAGGGGGGGCCAGGGACGCAATGAAATAAGAAGAGGCGTCATGAAATGTGAGGAACTATCATGGCCCCCGCCATGATATCCACCCACCCCTAGAGTCATCACCCCCCTCTTTGTCAGCCCCGATTTGGGGTACGCAGGCGCACGAATCGAGTCGGACGCCGGGCGAGCAGGGGCAGGCTATGCCACCTGCGAAGGACGAAACAGGGCAACGAGCACGCCGGGACGGCGAAACTCAGGGAGGCCAAAGAGGCGTCGACCTTTACGCGGAGACAGTGGGACACCAGGACAGGGGCGCGCGCGGGGGAACTTCAGTCGTGGGCCGAAGCATTCTCCATTCTTCTTTCGCCCCCGCCGGAACTTTCAGAGTTCTGGTCTGCCCGTCCAGTCTTCATGGAGGAAGAAATGAAGCATCAGCATAGAAATTGGGAGGTCTGCGTGGATGTCTTGGATCTGCGCTGGACCCCCTCCCTGGCGCGCGGAGCGCCCCAGGGGCGGCGCCCGAGGCGCCGCCAGGGGGGCCCCAGCACAGATCCAAGAAATCCAGGGCGCAGCGCCACACGCTTATGCTTTAGCCATCTTATATTCGATTGCAGCATCCTTTTGCCAGGGACCCTGAACCCCTGGGCTCCCCCCAGGACCAGCTCTTCGTCCCGAGTCGTTCACGGACGTCCCTGGGGCATCCGAGGGCCCCCAAGATCCTGGTGACGACGAGAATCCTCAGGACCCGTTCCCAGACATCGTCCGATATGTCGCCGCGCCGCTTATTCTCGGCGCGCCCAAGCGGACGACACGGACCCACGGCAAAACCCACGGCAAGCCATGTACCCCGCGCCGGTAGACGAAGCCGGCACCGCGGCAAACGTACGGCGAACCACCCACCGCGCCCGAGGCGTCGCTTGCACTGGTGCCCGTGGCGCCCTCCCCAAGACGCAAGGCCGCGCGTCAGAACAAACGGCGCGGCGACATAGCATTGTTTTCAATCCATGTGCCCAGGCGACCGACCCCTTCCTCAGAGGCAATTTGACTTCCCAGATGTTGTTGTACATGGTCCCGGGGCCCGATAGCAACCCACGGCTTCGAAGCCGAGATGAAGGGAAACAGCCGCCATTGTCAAAAACAGAGCGTCGGAGATACGACGAGACCCCCAGAGGTCGCTCGACCCATTCCCCTGGAATGGTCTGTCATCGTGGCTCTTGACGGTCCTGAGGCTCAGCGAGGGCCCCCAGAGGCCGACCATCGAGGCAAACACAAAACGCCCGTTCTGGTTCTCTCGCGACGCGAGGTGGTACTGATTGCGGGGGCGCGCAAACACGGATCAGCGATCCATGGATTGGCGCGCGGTCTCCCACCCCACGGATCGGGGGAGGTCCCCTCCCCAAAATGCGGCCGGTGCCGCCTCGCTCGGCGGCGGAAGTCCGCGATGCCCCATGGGAACTTAACCCTTCGCTAATCCACGCCCCCTTGATCCATGTTTGCGATCGCCTGATGATTTCCTTTCCCGCCGAGACCTTCTGGCCCCGGACCCTGCACCGGCAGAAGATCTCGGCCCCCCCGCCGGGGCGCAGTCCCGTAGCTCCAATGATGCAGACCTGAGGGGCAACGATTAGGGGGGATAGGGATAGGGGGGAAACATCGACCTGGAATCGCCGATACATCGCCGATGCATCGGCGATAGGCCTCCGATAGTGAATCCGCACGCTCCTGGGGAGGTTGGGGCTATCGGACACCTATCGGCGATCAATGGGCGATTGGGGGTCGATGCATCCCCCCCCCCTGTGCCTATCCCCCCCCTACCGTTGCCCCTGAAGACCCCCGCGTCCTGGCTCAGGAGGCCCGGCGGCGCCTGCTGGCCTGCGGCGGCGGCCACCTTGGGAGGCTCGGAGGTTGGCACCAGCACCCGTGTCGGCGGCTGCCTGCGCCGAGGGAACATAGGGGATGGTTCGATGAATCCTGGGATCGATAAAGAGATCGATAAGGAGGTCGACCGGGAACCCGGGAACCCAGAACCCACCGAAATCGGCCCTCGAACCACTAACCAGGAACCCGGGAACCCGGAACCGGGAACCGGGGCTACCAAAATCGACGGACAACTTTTGCCAAATCTTCCAATTTTCGCCAGGACCCCTTCAGTGCAAGCACTGATTGGGGAATGATCCCGATCCCAGTGATGGTGGCAGCATGTGGGCTTCGAATGAATGGTGGCCGACCCGACACACTACCGCCAACATCAAGCTCTAGGATCCTCGTTCCCAGGTGCAGGCGCCCGCCTGTGCCGGCGCCTCGGCTTTTTCCGAGTCGTGGTTCGACGGCCTCTCGGAGCCCGGCAAGGGCCCCGAGAGGCCGAAACCTATGACGAGCGTGCTCCGTCGCGGCGCGGCGGAGGCGATCCCCTCGCACGTGGAGCAAAGAAAGCCGGGCTGGGAAGCTGCGCGCTGCCCCGCATGCAGGAGGGGGCAGGGGCAGGAGAGGGCAAACAACCACTGGGCAGAGCCTCCGCCCCTATGTTTGCGCCGAGGCCCGGGAGGTCCGGGCTGGTGTTGGTGCCAGCCTGCCAGGCCTCCGGCGCCCGCGTGGCGGCGCCGCTGCGCGGCAGGCCCGCGGGCGCCCCGCAGAGGCCCGCCCAGCACGAAGAGCAGCCGGGCGCGCCCTCGCGGGGTGGCCAGAAGACACAGCATCTCCTGCGGGACTCCCAGACAAGCAAGCCTCCCAAACGGCTCAAATCAGACCCCTTCCCCCAATCAGATCCCACTTTTCCTCCTGTGATCTGGAATGCCCTGGGATCTGGGCGTTGCATGCTTCTCACTCCGGGCGTTTTCGCGGAGCTGCAGGGACCCTCACATGTCGTTCCAGCTTGAGAACTGCCTCACAAAGATGGGGGCCAGGGCTCCGTTCGTGATTTCGCGATGCGGCATTTTTTTCGCAATGTCGGATCTCAGGGTATATGTCCATGTCCCCTGCCACGGTGTCGTGTGCAAGGGGCTCGGGGAGCAGAGGATCTGGATGCCTCCCCGCCCATGCGGGCAGGCAGACACCCACTCGGTCGGCAACTTTTGCTCAGCGTGTTCCGGCGGCGGCCCCCGCGACACGCTATGCCGTGCGAGTGGGTAGCGTGTCGTTCCGCTCCGCGGGGCGGGAAGCTGACGATAGCGTGTCGCGCCGACGAGTGGTGGGCCAGACCGGGCGGAGCGACACCGCATCCGCCACTCCCCGAGAGCCCTCGGACACGACGCCGGAGCGATGGATGCGGACGTGCACTCTGGCGGTGGGCCTTGCGCTTGAGCACCCGCACGCCGTTCAGCCTCATGGGCAGGTAGCCGCTGCCCTCGACCTTCAGCCACTCGCCGCCCACGCACTCGGTCCCCTTCACCGTCGCGCCCCACCTCTCGCCGTCGGGCCGGGCGGGCGAGGGGAAACACACACCAACGTGGGGGCTGCTGGCGAAGCAGCCCACGCAGCCGCGCCTCCGGGCGCACAGCACCACGAGGGCCACGAACGGGAGGAGCCAGGGGGCGTCCCCCCGGTGGTGTGGTCCACCGGTCTCGCTCGAGGCATCCCCCATTCCCAGCTCGGGGAGACCTCGTGGACCTCCTCGCTCGAGGTGGCCCCACCTCCTCGTGGGCGGCGGCGGCGTCGCTTCTCGTTCCCCCTCCCCCCTTTGTCCCACCCGCACCTCAGGAGGTTGCCCGAGGCAGCCCTGAGGTCGACGTGGGTGCCGAAGCGGTACTGGATGCCCGGGGTGTTGGCCCTCAGGGCGCTGTTGTCCGCCACGTAGGCCACCTGCACGGCCTCACGCAGCGGGCGCTTCTCGCCCTGCTCCCGGGCCAACTGCCTCCGGAGGTCCTCCCTGGAGCCGCGCAGGGGCTCGCTGTCGAGCGCATCGGCGCCCCCGCCGATCGGCCTCTGCCCGTGGTGGCCCTGGCTCTCCTGGTGCAACCCAGGCAGCACATGCAGTCAACCCGTAGAATACTGGCCATCGCTCGGACGTCCACTCCCTGTGTGTTTTGTTTCGGTTTCGTGCGTGGCTTTGTCGCAGGGTGATCCAGGATGCTCCTTCACAACCCCTGCCGAGAAAAAGAGACACTTTTTTTACAAGCGCCAAGGGGGGCCCGTGGCGAAGAAGCAGGCAGGAGGGGAGAGGGAGGGAGGAGAGGGGAGAGGGAGGGAGGAAGGGAGGGAGGAGAGGGAGGGGAGGGGGAGGAGAGGAGGGGAGGGAGGAGAAAAAGAGCACACGTCCGAGCGATGCCAGGAATAAGGGCGCACGAGAAGGATGCAGGGGCCCCTGGAAGGCCATGCCGACGCTTTTGCGGGCGGTGCGTGGCCAGCGAGCGCAGCCGAGGATGGACCGAAGGGAAAGGATGCAAGGGGCAACCCTGGACAGCTGCACATTCCCTCCTCCCTCCTCCTCCCTCCTCCTCCCTCCTCCCTCCTCCTCCTCCCTCCTCCCTCTCCTCCCTCTCCTCCCTCTCCTCACGTTCAGGGATCCGCGTGGAGGTCTTCTGGTCGGTGCCGGCCCAGCCCTGGCAGCGCCTCTGGCGCAGCCCACTGCGTGCTCCGCGCGCCAGGGAGGGAGGTCCAGCGCCGATCGAAGAACTCGGCACGCCGCTTTCCGAAAGCTTATGCTTGACGCAGCTTTCTGCTCCCCTGACATCCCAGCGTCGCAATTTTTCACGCTGGGCGTTGTCGCCCGGGTGCGGGCCCCGGGGACGTCACAGATCGATCCTGCTCGAAAAGTGCAACAAGAAGGTCGGATCTAGAAGGCTCTGATCGTGACGTCTCGCGATGTTGCAACTTGTGCTCGCAACGTCGGATCTGGAGGTCCTCCATCTCGGGTGCCCAAAACCGTGTGGCGGCCTCAGAGTCCCCAACGAAGTCACCGCGCGGTCCGTCACCGCGGCATTTTGGTGGAACCTCGGAGGCAACAGTCGCCCGAGACGTCCTCGGAGAACAGCCCGAATTCCAAAGCCGCGCGGTGACCACCACGGCCTCACCACGCGGCGTCATCACCACACAATTTTTGGCGGCGCGCACAGGGGGGTAGGGAGAGGGGGAACGGCTTCTTAGAAGGAGGCCGCTTCTTGGAAGGCGTCCGCCCTACATCGATAGATCAGGCCCGCGCCTTTCAAGAAGCAGGGGTGCTTCTAAGAAGCGACCCCCCTCCCCCGACGCCTCTCCGCGCGTGGCTGATAGGGGCCCCCGATCGATCTCCATCAACGTCTTCACCTGCAGCTCCAGCGCCTCCCGCGCCTGGCGCTCCAGGCGCAGCGAGGCCGCGAGCGCTGCGCCGTCCGCGGCGGCGGCGGGGTCGTGCACGACGACGCCTCGGCCTGGAGACGCCGGCCTGCTGCGCTCGCGGAGCACCGCGGAGCCTGCCGCGAGGTCGGCGGGGTACGCCAGGGGGCGGCCTGCAGTGCTCCGCGGCGCCTCGGCGGCGTACGCCAGCGGGCGACCTGCTGGGCTCCGCGGCGGCTCGGCAGGGTACGCCAGGGGGCGGCCTGGGCTCAGGTGGCGGCCTGGGCTCGACCTCCGCGCCGGGCTCTCCACGACGCAAGGCACGACGTCTCCGGCCGCGGCCGCTGGGAGCGGCGAGTGCGGCCACAGGGGCGACCGGGCCCGGACGGCGAGGGGCGCGGCCGGGACGGGCTGCGGGGGCCTGGAAACGAGAAAGCACCGATGCCGCTGCTCCCTGGACCTCCTCAGGGCTGCGCTCTGACTCGGACTCTGAAGCGAATCCAGCCGTGGCGGCCAGGGAAGGGCACTGGTAGCGGCATCTGTTCCTCCTCTGAGCCTCGGCACAGGAGAGGACTGCCGCGGGACAACTGGGCTGCGGAGCGGGGGCGCGGGGTATGCAGAATAGGCGTAGCCGGTCCCGCGCATTGCTCTCCAACGGTCGGGCGCGAGCGGCCCGTGCCTTCCGGAGGGCGCCTGGCGCTCGAAATGTGCTCCTGCTGCGCGCAGCAGCAAGCAGTCTGTCTGTCTGGCTTGAGCTGAGATGGCGAATGCCAGTCCTGGCACTGTTAAAACATATCATCTCCTTCCCCTCCTGGCTGACACGGCATCTACTAGGACAACAACAGACTGACGATTCCTCCCACAGCCCTAACGCGCAGACAATACAACGTCATGACGGTTTTCTGCGGTTTAGATGGGGTGCCATTCTTAAATGGTCAATCGATGTATGTGTGCTTTGATGAGACTCTCCTAGTAATCCAACCAAGCTCCTCGGCGCAATGGGCTTCGCGACTTCGTCATTCCAATCTCCCTCTCCCCCTTCGGGGAAAAGTTTATCCTTGCTCATCAGTGTGCGCGCGCTCCCCAAACTCTGCTGGCCCCCAGGCAGGGTGCGAAAAACACCCCCTCCACCTTCCCTGTATCTGGATCGTGTTCGGGCGCTCCGCGATGGGGAAGAGGATGACGAGGCGTTGGCATATAATGAAGGGTCCCTGGGACACACAAATATGTACAAAGAGCAGGATTCCCCATCGATTCCTATATTTTCTGGGTTCTTGTTTCCCCCCACTTCCCATGCTTTCCAATATTTTCTGGGGACTCGACGATGAAATGTGTCTCTGTGTGTTGTCCCCTCCTGAACATATGCACATATTCCCCCACGTGTGCAGGCCCGCAAGATGCAAAGTGCACGCTGCGGCGACAGAAATCTTGGACCACGGGCGGTATTATTTTTGGCTGGGTATCGTTTGCCCGATCCCCATCCCCAGCGGCGTGGCCTGGGCCCCGCTGGCCGATCCCTCTAGATGGGGATATAGGTCGTTCCCTTTGGGGCTCCTGGGGTGTATCCCCAACTGGGGTGGTAATCTGGTGGGGGTATCGAAGGGGATGGGGATGGGGATGGGGATCTTATAAACCATACTGGTTGACAAAGATGATGGAGGTGCCCTGCCACGCGCGGAGCACCTCGCGGGCGTCGCGCAGTTGACTGGTCATTGGTTTCCGATGGTTGTCGATGGCGGCCCCTGCCTATGCTGGGCCCTGGGTGCTACTTATGTAGTGGGTGGACAGGTGAGAGTGAGGGAGACAACCATCCTTCGGGGGGGGGGGTAGTTTGAGCCCTCCCCCGACCCCACCCCCATCGCGGGCTTAGAGCGCCCAAGATGCCCCCCAAGATAGCCCAAGTTGGCATCCAATCTGGAACAAGAGAGCCCCCGATGGTTCAATATGGCTTCAGCATGCATTCAAGAGCGCCCAAGACCGCCACAAGACGGCTGGCGATGAGCAGGCGAGGGGAGGCAGAAGCGGGTTCTGCGGGGAGGAGAGGGGGGTGAGGACGGAGGGAACACGGAGGGGGAGGGGGAGGGGGAGGGAGGAGGGTGGTGGAGGGAACGGCGTTGGTGCGCCCGAGAGGGGCATGATCGGTCGCGGGCTCAGGTTTGTTCCGAAGGGTGCTCGGAGGTTCCGTGGGATTCTGGCGGGCAGGGCAGAGGCGGAGGAGCGGTGTGAACGAGGAGGAGGAGGACGAGGAGGACGAGGAGGAGGAGGACGAGGAGGAGGAGGAGGACGAGGACGAGGAGGAGGAGGACAGTGGTGGGAGGAGAGGGCTGGTGGAGCAGAGAGGGGCGGGAGGGAAGGAAAAGAAGAAGGAGAGGAGGGGAAGAGGAGGAGGAGAAGGAGGAGAGAAGGAGTGCAAAGGACGGGGTGGGAGGAGGTGGTCCTGGGAGTGTTTCTGTTGGGGGAGGGCGCGATGATGATGGTGTGATGGAGAGGAGGGAAAAAACCTCGCGGAAGCAGTGGAAAACAGTGTCGCTGTCGCCGACGTCGTCACCGTCGTCGACGCCGTCCTTCGTCGACGCCGTCCTCCTCCTCCTCGCCGCCGTCGCCAGCGCCATCTTGTTGTCCTCCTCGTCGTCGGTGCTGCTCTTACCGCTGTCGTCGTCGTCCGCCCCGCCTGGAGGCTGCCTTGTGGCAGTGGCGGTAACACCGAGCCGCAGGCGACGATACCAGGCAGCTCCTTGGAGCTCGGCGAGACGAGGTCCGACGAGGGCCCCGCGTGCAGGCTCTTCCTCGAGGGCTTCGGCCAAGACCCTCTTCTCGCAGTGGCAGCATCGCAAAAGAAGGCCAGGTTTGGGCAATGTTCGGCCACTGAGGGCCCTCGCTGGTCGCTGACTCGGGACGAAGCAACAGCCCTGGGGAAGGGCCCAAAATCTCTGGGCGTGCTCGCGGTGAAGAAGTCACAACGTCGGGGGGCGAGGAAGGTTCAAGGCTCACGGGCTGGCCACGTCGAAACGGCCGCAGCGCGATCAGAGATGCCATGCTGGCAGAACGGGCAGTCAGACTGCGAAAGCCCAGAGGGAAGAGGGCGAGAGAAACCACCACACTTCCCCGAGGGCGAATGACTTCCGTGCAGGATCTACTCCCCCGACCTCGCAATCACGGCCCGAACCCCTTCATCAGGTGGAACACAAGAGACTAAGAAGGGCTGGAGCATCACCGTCGCAGCAGGAATCGAACGTCTCTGACATATCCTGATGACTTACCGCTTTTCTTGTGGCAGACAGTCATCGCGAAACCAGAACTCCCAAAAAGAACGAAGCGACGGGCTCTTCTGGCCACGCCGAGCCTTGGCCACGCACAGGCTTCCCCGACCTGGACCTAAAGAACGGCCCGACGAACAAGAGCCGTTCCCGAGCCTAACGTGGCTCTTATCTCAGCGCCTTGACTGCAACACACGAGGGGATCCCCTGGAATCTTGGAAAAGCGCACGTCTGGCAGGAGCGACGTGAGCCCCCCCCTCCCCCTCAGAAATCGCGGCGGGCAGAGGCAGGGTTCGCATGTGGCCCCCTGGTGGGGGAGGAGGGAGGACGGCGGACGCCAGCCAGCGCACGGAGCGGCGACGAGGCGATGACGGGCGGGCACCAAGCGATAGCCCAGAACCGCCGGCCAGCGCGCGAGGCGACGTCTCGAGGCGGCGACAGGGAAGCACCCGGTGAGCGCCCGGAGCCGCAGGCCGGCGCGCGAGGCGGCCTGCGAGGCGGCGACGGGCGAGCACCCAGAGCCGCAGGCCAAGAACTCAGCGGCCCGAGAAAGAGACCCTCAGGGCACGCACTCCTCCTCCTGCTCCTGCTCCTGCTCCTCCTCCTCCGCCTACCCCTCCTCCTCCTGCTCTTTCTCTTTCTCTTTCTCCTCCTCCGCCTCCTCCTCCGCCTCCTCCTCCTCCTCCTCCTCCTCCTCCCTCCTCCTCCTCCTCGCGAGGGGAATGACCCATGAAAGCTCCGAGCGCGATGCCCGCAAGCCTTCGCGCAGCTCCTGGGTCCTAGACGGCGAGTGCGCAGCTCCTGGGCGCGCTGCGCAGCTCCTGGGCAGCGCTCCCCAGGCTCGCGCGCAGCTCCCACGCAAGCTGCCGTACGCTCGCTCGCATCGCACGCAGCTCCTGGGCGGCGCTCCACCGTTCTGGTCCATCTGCTCTGGGCGATTTCGGGCGTTCGCCGCGTGACCTTCCCCGAGGCCTTGGCTGCGAGGTCGCTCTCTCGGAGCGTCGGCCCCAAGAAGGGGCCCACCAGTGGGAACGCGAGGGGAATCAGGAGCCCTCCTGCGCCCCAGACGGCCCCGAGATCGTCAAGAGGCCCCCGAAGGGGAACCTCAAGAGGCCCCACAAACCTGTCCAGCCTCTACCGTCGCCGCGCCGCCCCAGCCCCACAACGGCCAGACCACAGTCCCGTTGGCATGTTGGCGCTGGACTGCTCCTGAGCCTGCCAAAGAGGGCCCCGGTTAACTTCCATGACGTCCGAAGAGGAGGGAGGAGGATGAGGAGAAAAATCCTCCTCCCTTCGTCCAGCCTTATTTTCTCTTCCTGCTCATCCCGATCCTACTTCTCGACACGATGAGCCCGGGGCTCCCTGGGGGGCAACGACTTCAGAGGATGCCTTCGGGCCCCGCGGCCACTCCATGGCGCCCTGGAGCGCTCTGTTGCAGAATACGCTGCAACATCCAAACGCAGCCCGGCTCATCCTGCTGGTGACCCCCCCCAGACCTTAGACCCCACAGAGATTCGTGAAACCTTCTCGAACCCCCCCACGGCCGCCCAGAAAACAACCCGTAACCTGGGACACGAGGCGGAGGCGGCGGCGGCGGCGGCGGCGGCGGCGGCGGCGGCGGCGGCGGCGGAGGAGGAGGAGGAGGAGGAGGAGGAGGAGGAGGAGGAGGAGCAAGAGAAGGAGGAGAGGGATGATGAAAGAGGAGAGTGGGGAGGAGGGAGGAGGGAGGAGGAAGGAGGGAGGGGCAGGAAGAGGGAAGACGGACGAGCCTGTATTTCCAGCGCCGTGACGCCTGCTCACGACGTGTGCCCCAGGACCCTCGACCCCCCTTGCCCGGGACGCCGTGCATGTCGTTGCGGGGCCGGCGTGCGCTGTGCAGGCTGTGCGGTGTGAGCTGTGTGGTGGGAGCTCGTCGGTGCGGGCTCTGTGGTGCACGCCATGTGGTCGTGGGCGCCCAGGAGGCGCCCACGACCGGGCACCACCTAGGCACCAGACGCACCCTCGACTGAGCCACCCGACGCACGGAGCGCCCAGGAACCGTCCACGACGGAGTACCCGCGGGAGGCCGCGGGCAGCAAAGTTCCGCGAATCTTCGGCGCACCCATTCGGCACACTGTTGGCGCTCACGCGGCGACCACTGGCGGCAGCGCGGCGACACTTCGGCACACCCACGAGGCGCCCGCGGGCGGCAGCGCGGATCTCGACAGATCCAGTCGGGCGTTGACCCAAGGAACCCTCAATGAGGAACGAGGCCCCCTTCTTTCATAAGTTACGAACTTCGCCGTCCCATCGAAATCCTAAGGAAAACACGCGGCAAACTGCGAGACAGTGACGGGGCACGGAGCCCCTCCCCAACGAGAAGGGTTCCTTCTTCAGCGCCCCGACTGCATCAAAGCAGGGAGCCCGAAGTGCAAACACTCTCTCTGTGGGTCTGTGGAGGAACTCTCGGAGGCCCGCGGGGATCTCCTGAGCATGTTCTTAGGGTGGAGGGCTCAGGGTGAAATCCATATTGGCTTTTGCGCCTCGAGAATCAATCCGACTTGTGATTCACCTTTTGCAGGTTCAAGCCTCGAAAATCAATTGAAACGGCATTTCAGACTCCATCCTTTGCCCTCCACCCAAAGAAGATGCTCGGATCTCTGGGGCCGGCGCTGGACACACCTCCTCCGGAGCGCGACGCGCGCCAGGGGCGGCGCCAGGGACCCGGGAGGCGCCACCGCGGAGGTCCAGCACCGACCCGAGAGATCTGCGCGGAGGTCCAGCAGCGTGTGCGAATGCTGCTCACGGCGCCCATGCCAACAGGGAAACAGCGCAGGAGCTCACATGCAATGAGGAGGAGGAGGAGGAGGAGGAGGCGGAGGAGGAGGAGGAGGAGGAGGAGGCGGAGGAGGAGGAGGCGGAGGAGGAGGAGGAGGAGGAGGAGGAGGAGAGCTCGATCCAGCACGAGGGGCGAAGGTGCCACAAGCAGCCTCCCAGAGGCACCGGCTCCAGGGCAGGGCTGCGAACGGCATCTCCCGTTCTCCGACGTCGTGGCTTTTGCCACGACGTGGACCCCCAAAGGTCTAGATCCCTTCCATCGGGCCTTTCTTTCACACCCCTGGTCGTTTGCTGACGGCCCCGAGTCCTGGCACCCTCAAGAGGCCGAGACGGTCCAAAGCCTCCCGTCGTGTTTCTGATCGCTACGAGACGAAGGTCTGGGCCCGCCCTCCTCCGAGCGGCTTCCAGGCCACAGCTCGGGCCTCCCGTGGCCGTTCCGGACGATTCGGGCACCCCCGGGACGCCCTCGGCGAGGCGCAGCTGCCGCAACATCATCCCCGGACAGGAGCATCGCCAGGAGCCAACCCTGACAGCCGCCGATCTGATGCTTGTCAATCCGTGGCCACACAGGTCACGACCACTTCCCTGGGGGTAGTGTCTCGTCTCGGATCCATGTTTGATCATCCCAGGGCCCGGAAACGGCCCCCGAGGGCCAGAAGCGGGGAAAACCGTCGGTTGAACAAATCCACCCGCCAGAGATCTGAGAACGAACAGTTGGCGGCGCACACAAGGGCGTAGGGGAGGTGGGAAGGCTTCTGAGGAGGCTGCTTTTTAGAAGGCGCCAGCCCTACATCTGTAGACAAGGCTCGCGCCTTCTAAGAAGCAAGGGTGCTTCAAAGAACGCATGTGTTATTCGCGGCGGAGGGGGCAAAACGCGCGTTATGGCCCACTGGGTAAACAAACACTCTCTAAGAAGCCTTCCCCCCCTCCCCCTACCCACCTCTGCGCGTGGCCGGAGCAGTGCCTCAAAAAGTCACGGCGCGAAGGGGGGTGGGTCCGGTCAGTCCTGTGCCCCTGCGCGCCCCGGGCGTTTCCTCGCCTCGGGTGCTCGTTATAGCGGGGGGGGAATCGTTAAGCACGGGGTGAAGCCATGCGCACCCTCCGTGCCCTTTGGGCTCGCGGTGGCAGTATGGGTCCCTTGAATGCCTCTTTGGTGCCACTCTTTCATGCAATCCTCCATCCCCACACGTTTGTTGCCCCCCCCCTTGCCGTCCGCCCGATGGGGCCACCCGGGTCCTGCCCGGCCTCAGCGAGCCCCACTGAGGCCTGTCCTCCAGCATCCCCGGCAGCGACGGCGCCGGCAGCGTGTGCCTTCTGCCAGGCAGTGCCAAAGATGGTTGCCGCCAAAGCAGGATCCGTCAGCATCGAATCGGGGAATCCGAACAAATCCGCACGTCCGTCGGATCGGGCTGCAACAGATCGCCAGAACATCGAAAATGGATCGGATCGAGCCTGCCGGAATCGATATCGAATCGGATCGATCTGGATTCTAGGAATATCGAATCGGATCGATATCGAGGAAGCGCGGTGGCCAAGGATTCTCGCGTGGGGAAAAGTAGCACGACGGCAAGTGTTCGGCCGCTTTCGACCTCCAGGCGCCCTCGCCAGGCGGGGCCGCCAGAAAACGACTCGTCATGAAGAGCCAAGGGGTGGGGACCTCTGGGTACTCTGTGAGGAGAAGGTCCAGACATTGGAAACCTATACCTGGGAAGCGCCATCTCCTCTAGGAGATGCCCCCCCCCAAGACCACTTGAGTTTGGAGCCCTCCAGGTCGACCCCAAACGTGCAGAAACCTCCTCGAGCTTCGATCCTGGAGCCCCCTCCTCCTCCTCCTCCTCCTCCTCCTCCTCCTCCTCCTCCTCCTCCTCTTCCGCCTCCTCCTCCTCCTCCTCCTCCTCCTCCTCCTCCTCCTCCGCCTCCTCCTCCTCCTCCTCCTCCTCTTCCTCCTCTCCTCCTCCTCCTCCATTCCTTCTCCTCCATTCCTCCTTCTGCATTCCTCCTCCTCCCCTTCCTGCTCCTCCTCCTCCTCCTCCTCCTCCTCCTCCTCCGCCTCCTCCCCTCCTCCTCTTCCTCTCACTCGCTTCGGGGCGCTTAGGGACGAAATGTCCGCCTCGCAGCCTGCTCCTGACTCCTCTTCTTCCTCCCCTCCTCTTCCTCCTCCTCCTCCTCCTCCTCCTCCTCCTCCTCCTCCACTTCCTCCTCCTCCTCCTCTTCCCTCCTCCTCCTCCTCCCCCCCGCCTCCTCCTCCTCCTCCTCCTCCTCCTCCTCCTCCTCCTCTTCCTCCTCCTCCTCCTCCTCTAACTATCCCTTCTCCTCCTCCTCCATTCCTCCTCCTCCATTCCTCCTTCCTCCTCCTCCTCCTTCTCCTCCTCCTCCTCCTCCTCCTCCTCCTCTCCCCCTCCTCCTCCTCCTCCTCCTCCTCCTCCTCTTCCTCCTCCTCCTCCTCCTCCTCCTCCTCCTCCTCCTCCTCCTCCCTCCTCCTCCTCCCTCCTCCTCCTCCTCCTCCTCCTCCTCCTCCTCCTCCTCCTCCTCCTCCTCCTCCTCCTCCTCCTCCTCCTCCTCCTCCTCCCCCTCAGTCCTCAGGAGGAGCTTGTGGCCTGCCCTGGTAGTGACCCCCTCTTGGAACGGCCCGCCTTTCGGGGGGGTGGCCGCCGCGAGCAGGGGCCCCGGACACTTTCCGGGGGCAAGCCTGAGTGGGGCCGGAGCAGGCGGGGGGTCGGAGGATCGCGCTGCGTCGTCGATGCATCAGCGACGCTTAATCAAACAAGGACTCCCAACCGATTAGGAGGGCCAGAAAGATGAGGGATAGGGGGCCTGCTTCTGCAGATGTATCGAACCGATCCGCCCAGAGCTATTACCCCAAATACAAAGACGGAAACCTAAGCGAGGCCACGCCTTCACTGTGTTATTAGGGATGAGGGTTCTTTTATCCTCGATGAAGCGACGTAGGGGCGGAGAAACTAGGACTCCGACGATCCGAGCTCTTCAGCTGGCGCTTTTGTCTTGGACTCCGAGCTCTGGGGCTGGTTTCTCGTGCCCTGGGGCCACTAAGAACAGATCCAGGGCGAAGAGCTGCCTGTGGCCGCGGATTGACAAACCAGGACGGCGGATGTCAGGAAACAAGACTCCAGATCGGGCCGGGCCGCCGTAGACATACATCCAAGGTCCATTCAGCGAGCGCGTCTGGCTCGCTCCAGGAACGCCCCCACACCAAAAATAGGTGGCAAGGGGGACGCGGGGCCTGGGTCGGGCCCCTGGGGCCCCCTACGGGCAGAACCTTCACACCACGACCCAGGATGACGACCCGGTCCCACGGGATAGCCCCTGGCTCCAGGACCCACCTCACTCGGGACCCATCTCCTCCATGCCAAGTGAGCCCAAACCACCTCGTGCGGTGGAACGATCACGACGGATGGTTGTTGGCCGTTTTCGGTGTCCGGGGGGTCCTCGCTTGGATCCGGGGCGGTCAGAACCTGCGGCTGGAACGCTGAAATCGGGGAAGGGGCGGGGGAGGCCCACGCTGCGGCAAAAACCGAGAACCCTGGCGAGGAGCAACACCGAGTCCGAAGACCGAACCCGAGCGATTGGACGCCCAAACTATCCCAGATGATTGCGGTCTGGGGCAACTCCGGTCTGGAACTCCGAGGAACGGACCTGCTGCTGCCCCGGACCGCCCCTGGCCCTGACGACACGGGGCCCTGAAGCGCTGTCCCAGAGCCCCGACGTCGTGATTTGTTCATGGCGTCGACCCCAGAGATCCGCACGCCCCCGGGACCGGCTTTTCATCCTAGGCCCGTTTTTGGCGGCCCCGAAGCCCGGGAAAGGCCCCAACGAGGCCGAACATGGTGAAGCACCCATCGTCGCGGTTCTTTCACGACGCGAGATGCTCTGGGTGACGACAATAGAGACGCGCCTCTGGTTTGCCCGGCGCGCGGGCGGCAGCGGTGATTTCGCCATGGGGCCCGCCGCGGCCGCCACGCCAGCGGCGGTGCCGCCGCGGCGCGGCCCGGCGCGCGGGGCGGGGGCGGCCGCTCGAGCCGCTGGGGCGGGGCAGCCTTTGGAAGTCCCCTCCAAGGGGTTTTGGCGCAGTGCCTCCCCTTCCCCCTCCCCCTCCTCCCCCTCCTCCCCCTCCTCCTCCTCCTCCTCCTCCTCCTCCTCCTCCTCCTCCTCCCCCATCCCCCTTCTCCTCCTCGCAGACCACGCAGACCACAAGGGTGCCCTGTCACCCTAGGAGCAGCAGGCACCTCACTACATCTAATCACTATCACTCGACTGACTCCTGCCACCGATTGGGGGAAGAAGGGGCTCGTCGTCGCCCCCCTCGTCCAACACATGGGCCCCCGCAGGGGTCGGGATCGGTACCACAGAGGGTCCTTGGACAGGAGCAGGAGCACTAAGAGTGACGCTACCACCCTGGGGCAAGGAGGGGGGAGGGGAAGGCGACAAAGGGGGCAAGGGACAGGAAGGAAGCGACGAGAGGGGAAAGGTTTGCCCCAGGGCGTAGCTAGAACCTGGCAGAAGCCCACGGAAGAGCTTCGACCGTTCAGAAGACCGCTTCGGGTCCCAAACAGGGCTTCGAAACCTTATCGGACTTAACCGATGCGAAACCACCGCAAAGCACGCAACCAATGATCGGGACATCGGTTCCCACCACCCTGGCCCAATGCAATTTGTGCCCGGACCCTGCTCCTCCCCGCATGAGGGACGACATGGTCGGGGAGAGGGACTGACAGGGGGTGGTGGTCCTGTCGGAAACGATCCTGAAACATTGGGGACACCTAAAAACCGACCCGTGACGGATGGGGCCCTGCCGAGAGCCGCCACGCACCGAGGACGTGCATGGCTCCGACCCCAAGGCTAGAATATTCAGCCTCACCTGTATCAAAATCTTCGAGCTCTTGGGGCCCCAAATTGTGCGTTTGTGCCCCCAACTTGGCATGCGCATCTGAAGCAGTGGAACCCGCCATGTTCACGAAATCATTGTCATCCACTGCCTCACTGAAAGATCTATGAGCTTTGACCTTTTCTAGGGTCGGCCAGCACTCACTACCAACTTTGCGCATGACAGAGATGGCGAGGCCAGTGTGCTCTCCGTCAGCACTGCTCTGGTCAAAACGCTTCGGCAGAGGGCCATATATCCCTCGGAGCAGCTTGCCCGAGTCAGACATCGAGACGAGGCCAAAACCAGCTCTTGAAATCTCGGCCCGCTCTCCTTGACAGCAGGACCCATCGGAGAAGATCTGTTCACCCGACCTGAATTCGACTGGCGCAACCTCTTCCCCGTCAGGGCCAACATACTTCAAAATCCAATCCTCGCAGGGGGAGGGGAGGTCAGGGAAGGCAAGCCAAAGCCTACTACACAACAAACAAGATGGGCCTGCCGCCTGCACCTGGTCCAGGAAATTGATCCCGGAATGCTCCGCCCTCCTGCGGACAGCCCCCTGACTCTGGCAGCGCCACATGCGGTGCCAGGCCGTGTCAGGCTGGGCTTTGCACAACAGGCAGACTGTGTCCACGTCGTAGCCCCAGGCCTTCAGGTATTCACCTGTGGGCAGGGCTCCTGACAGAACCTGTCGGAACAAATGGCCTGCACCTGGCTCAAGGCCTTTTGCTACCCTCGCCATCGCAGGGGGCCGTAGGCCCCTCGCCTGAACGCAAGGATCGGGTACGCAAGTTAAAACTTTAGCCAATATGTCTGAAGAAACCTGGGCGTCAAATCGGCCGGGAAAGCGTCGGCAATCTGCTGGAAGGGGACCCCGTTCACAAAACCAGCGCTCGCCCAGAGCGGACCTGAAAATCGCGGGACCTTCCTGGGGCCACCCTCCAGCTTCCAGCCAGAGAAGCATGGCCGACACAGGGCCTTGGGCACGGTAAAGCCAAGGTTTGCCCGAGAAGCCTTTCAACTGAAATTCACAAGGCCTAAACATCCTACTGAGGGTGCCAGCGCTCATCGCATCCGAATGGCGCCTGGGCCCGTGGGGGGGCGGTTCCGAAGACTGCCGCCACTCCCAAGCATACCGCTCCGAAGGCGCGCTGGCGATCTTGATGGGGTCATCCTTGGGGCTGAGGGCCCGCATCAGATCTATATTACAGCCCCGTCTACTAATCCCTCCTGCACGTGCAGCAGCCCGACGAATAGTCAACAATTCTTTGGGGGGCACGCCCTGCGCGGCGATACCGCGCGGGATGGTGGGGAGGATGCCCATTTTGAATAGCCGAGCCTTCTTGGACATGGGCAGTTTCAAACCCTTGAGCTTCGCAACCCGATAAAAGGAACTTCTTGGCACGCCTTTTCCGAACAACGCGGGGGAAGGGCTGCGACTGGCGTTTCCCGACAGGGAACGGTACTCCCAAATTGGCGGGCGCGACAGAACTGTGGCCCGCCAAATCTCCTAGCTCGGCAACCACTGCTTTCAATAGAATCGCCGAGTTGGCTGCGCATCATCTTCTTGGTAGAGTGAGGTGCGCAGAGATGCTGAGTGATGGCCGCCGCCAGGCTGGTGCCGGTCGCAAGCCCTCGAAGCTGCCTAACGCACGCCGACAAATCCGATGCCCAGGAACAAATTGAAATATCATCTACATGGAGGCCCTGACTGGCATTTGGATCCCCTCTGTGATTCTCGAGGTCGGGGGCGTGAACGACTTGGCCTCATAGGTGGCCGGCGCGCCCCCAGCCACAATGCCCCTGGGCGGCCAAAGCGGGGCCAAGAAGGCCCCGTCCAGAAGATGTACACGCTTCCATTCATACGTAGATAGCGTATACAGCAGCACATGCAAGGGGAACTTTGACAAAATACTCTGTTCCAGAAGCTTATCATGGCTTATGTGCTCATAGAGTTGCAGAATCTCCCAGAGGGGCGTGGCGTAGTGCATCTGGAGCCCCGTGGAAGATTCTGCGAGGACATTCTGGCGCCGCGCCATGTCGAGAGCGCTGCGGCCCTGCCCCATTGGGAACTCTGGCCCCAAACCCACCGACCCCTCCCAAGCCCTGCAGGGGTCCCTGTGGGTCTTGCCGTGGAGCCTCGCGAACCCGTTGTAGTGCCCAATGGGTCTCCTGCCTTTGTCAGGCCTTCCCATGAGACAAAAACAATGATCTGCTGCGTCTGCGTCGGTGCCTGGCCGACCAAGTCGACCAGGTAGAAAAGCTGCGATTGCACCCCCCAAGCCGTAGTCGGACAGCAAACTGGAATGTCTAAGATGAAACCCGTCTGGCTTGCACGTAAACGCTTTGAACCGAGCGCTGATGTTCCGAAGCTGTTCGATCGACCGCGGCTCGGGGACAGGCGCGGGCAAATCGGGAACTGCAAGCTCGGTCGCGCGAGGTTCGTCCTGGGCCCCCCATGCAGCCTTCCACGAGTCGCGCTCCTGCTGCAGGCGCGCGGGCAAAGAACTGGAGTGCGAGCCAGGGACCATTTCGACTTCTTCCACCATAGGTTCTCCTGACCTGAGATGCGCAAGAGCCTGCTTCATGCTGCCCTCGGCCGCTTCGGTGCACCACGCATGCCGCGACTCCTTTGCCCTGCCGACGCGGGTACATTCCGACGCAATCCCCGAGCAAATATCCAGGAAGCCAAGCTGCATGTTACAATTTTCGGTGCTCCGAAGGGCCCTGTATACAGCGGAATAGAAAGGATGCCGCGAATCGCCTCCAGCTCGCCAATGACGCCGAGCAGGCCCACCTCTAACAGGGAGCTCTTGCAACTGGTTCAAAAGGTTGCTGAAGTACTTGTCTTGATTCGTCTTGCTGATAATGGCATGGAGCCCCTTGAGTCTCACAAGTACCCAATGGGGGGGCCTGCCAGGGAACGCGTTTTTGTACTGCTTGGTAGCGAGGAGCTTGCTCAGTGAGACTTCTTGGGTATCCATGGGGGGCCATGCTGGGAGGCCTGGAGCCCCTTTGCACATGCCCACATTGAAGATTTCCTCCCACGCCCTGGGGAACCACTTGCTATAGACCTCACTGAGCAGCTTTACACCTGAGTCCTTCTGGGCCCCCGTGAGCATGAACGACTGGCCCTCCGAGTCCCCCTGAGCCTTCAAGCGAACTCCTAGCCGTTCACTAAGATCACTATAGTCAGGTGGAGGAACCCGAGGACCGATACCAGGAGTATGAGGTACATGCTGGTAGGCCCGCGGCGCTCGCACTTTAATATTTAACACTTCTCTTCAGAGTGAGCTCGACGGGTCTGTGGGGAGAGAAAGGCGCGCGCACGTCCACTGTGACCTCTCCCGCAGTTTGGCCCAGCGCGCGGCTCAGCACAAAGATATCAATGACTGATGAGCGAGACGCAACCACGGTGGCTTCGCCCGTAGCCCGGATCACACAACCGAGCTGCGGGGGGAGGCTCTTGTGTAGACTACTTGGCTGCACATTAAAGCCACCTTCAACAATGAAAGGTAGGTCATGCTTGAAACAGTCTCTCCAAATCGAGTCGAGCACCCTCAAGTTGAATTGAGAGAGCCCCTCGCAGCCCTCCAGATAGACTGAGTAGCAGGCAAAGACACCCACGGACGAGCTCCGTAATAAACAACGACTTACACGTCCATCAAACATAGAAGCTGATTCGCCTGGTGGGGCCCATGTATCAAAGTGCTTCCGGGCGATCACGAACGTTCCTGCTGATGGCCTTCCCGTGTCAGTCCCGACGCATCGTGCGCCGCATGCCCTCCATCCCCACCTGCGTGGCCGTGCAATCTGGTGGCGGAAAAGAGCCCCCCAAAGCCTATGCTCCTGGAGAAAGGCAACATCTGCGGCTGTGTTCTTCACAAACTCGGTGAAACTGGGCGTCTTAGCACTGAAATCAGCACCCCCCATGTCCGCTCGAGCATCTCCACGCCGGCTGGGACCATTGAAGGTGGCAAGCTTGAGCGGCGCAAGCGAAAACTCTTGCTTCGCAGGGCTCTGAGAACGGCGGGGCACCTTCCCCCCTGAACGTCCTGAACAATGTTTTTTCCCCGGAAATTGGCGCAGCAATCGAATGGGACGAGGTGGGCCTTGAGGCCCAAGAAGAAGACCCTCCCGTGGTCCACGATCCTGCCGAGGTTGGTGGCCCAGTCGGAGCCCCAGAGGTAGGTGGAGGATGGTGGGTCTCGGGGGCTCAGCAGAAGATGACGACGACAAAGTGCGCCAGGTCCAGCTCGAAAATGGCGCACGGGTGGCAATCCCCGAAGGCGGGCCCCCGACCTGACCCCTGAGACGCCCCCCTGACTGAGGCCCTGGGTCTCTCCCAGGGCTCAGGGGGTCTGCAGCGGTCAGGTCTGTTGTCGAACCTGCGCTCTCGGGGGGCGGAATTGCCCGCGAGCTCTGCGTCGGCAAAGAACCCCCTGACCATGGCGTTCTCATGCTCAAGATCAGGTTCCTGCTCTTCGATCTCCCCAACGTCCTCCCAGCTCGGTTGGGGGTGGTGGAAGACGGCGGGACCTGTGGGTCGACCTCCTGGGCCTGGGCTCCGGAAGCGAAGATTCTTGGCGGCGTTCCGTAGGGCGTCCAAGAGCTCCCTCTTCTGCGCCGCGTCGATGCCCGAAACGCACTCACACTCCTCGGCCAGGTCCACTTCATCAACCTCCATGGCAGGCCCCTGGGGAGAGGACTGGGGCGGACGCGGGACACTCTTGGCAAACAGGGAGTCGAACTGGCCGGGGAGCGACTCGTATTTTCACTGCCAACTCTCACGAACCTCAACAGCTGCGACTCCTGCGACGACACTCCTGACCCCCCCCCCAGTTGCATGCCGAGAGACTCCATGCTGGGGGAGGGGGGGGGGCGGACGACACAGCTTCAGCAGCGGCTTTCTTGAGTTTCTCCAATGCGGTGGATTCGTCACAAATGGCCTGGTCCACCTCAGCTTTCTGGTTGACCAGCTCCTCAATCTTGGACTGGAGACTCTGGGACTGATCGCGCAACCGAGCAATCTTCTTTCTCACGCTGCTTTTGAGCCTGCTCAGCTTTGAAGAGGACCTTGGAGGGGGGTACATCTTGCTGGCGGGATTGACGGGCCTCCTCATACGCGGTCGAAAGAGCTTTCTTGGCCGACTCAGGCAAGAGATCGCTCCTCCACTGCCTTTACCCCCTGCTTCTTGACCTCCTTTCCCTTGGCCCTTGTCCTTCCGAACTCCAGCTCTAGAGAACACCCAAGGTTCACGAACCCAGACAGGTGGAGGAGGTGGAATACAGCCAAGAAGCTGAGGAAGAGCACCTGTGCAGTGATAACAGAACTTGAAGCGGGCGGGGTTCTTCTTGCAGCCGCAGGACGCGCACACGACACCGATCGCCGTCTTCCCATCATGCGAGCCTTTTCCTGCCATGCCCCGCGCGCACGACAGAGAGAAACGAGGACAGGCAACTGAGGCCTGGAAGCGTGGGCTCTACGTGGCCCTGACCAAAACGGAAACCGGCTGAACCCTTTGGGAGAGGTTGAGACGTTAAGGGGCAGGCCCCTTGAGCCAAAATGGCTTGAGCCAAAATGGCTGCGGTCTCCTCCTCCTCCTCGTCCTCCTCCTCGTCCTCCTCCTCCTCGTCCTCCTCCTCGTCCTCCTCTTCCTCCTCGTCCTCCTCCTCCGTGCTCCTCCTCCTCCTC